TAACAAATAATAACTTACTCCCTAGTAATGTAATAATGTATAAGTATAGTGTTAGAATGAAACAAAATTAGAAAGAAATTAAAGAAATTGCACTTACCAGCTGATATTGAGAACACAATAAGTGTTTAAATTATAAATTTATTAGAGTATCGTTTAATGAACTAGTATAACATTGATTTATAAAAAAAAAAAACTTACGAGCTGGTAATTTAATTTAATAATAATATATATATATAAGTTGGTTTAATAAACTAATGTAAACATTGATTTATAAATAATAATAACTTACTGGCTGTATTTGTAGGACTGTTAGCTTGACGCACTTGCATTGGGCGATTTTGCACTGGAGTAGCCGTTGTAGTCAAAACGAAAATCAAAGCGATAACCAAGAAGAAATAATATTTTAGCGACATTGTTTAATATTTTTCAAACTTGCAAATTGTCAAATGGTTTGCAAAAATTGAAGAGAAATATTATGTTTTATACTCGTTAAAAGCATATATATATAAGTATTCGTGTTTATGAATGAAACTAATACGCGTCATGTGCGTACGTAAATTTAATTAAACCAAGTATAACAAATTATTAAGACAAATATGCCAACATCAATAGCAACTTATCAAATTTAGATTAATTGTAGCTAACAGAAGCGGTTCCAGCATGAGGGCAGTTTTTTTTCTTTTGAAAAAAGGAATAAAAAATTTGATCACACATGCTCAGGCGTCATAAAGATGCATAGTTTGCACAGTATTGTATGGAAGATGCAAATTTGTCAGATTTTTATCGGATTTTCTTTTGTTTTCCATTAATGCATAATTGTATTGACATCTTATATATCGAATTTAGAACCCGAAACTAGAGATGGTAAATATCCGGTACGAGTAGGTCAACTTAGCATGACCTTTTTGAGTTGACTTAGACTCGAGAAACCCTAAGAGGCCGAGTCCCAGATGGTCACACATTATTATTAAATGCTAATTAGCGCCACTTTGCATGAATAGTAATCTATTACAGACATTGCATTTTATTTAGCCTATTTCCACAATGCTTTCGAATATTCGACTAACTATAATAAAATAAATGATTCGAGTACTCGAGTCCAGTCATTAAGTCATGCATTAATGTTATATAAAAATAAAATATTACGTACAATATATAGTTATTCTAATGAATTTACTATTTTTAGCTTATGAAATAAGAACAATAATTTTATGGGAATATTATTATAGTGCTATAGCGTCATAGTGCTACCCAAGATTGGTGTAACATGTAAATCAAAACAATCTAGTCTTTACAAAAATAAAACTAGGTTAACTAATTTTTAAAAGTTGTGATCTGCATCTTAAATTTTAATTGGTTACAATACCTAGCATCCATAGTGCTATAGCACTATAAAATAAATCCCTAATTTTATTACATAAAAATACCATAAAATAATTAATTTATTTTATAAGCTGTTAATAGTAAGGCATAAGGTATTGAATAAAATAAAGAATACGTCGTACGATACACCAAAAAAAATCGTGCGTTTATCTGAAACATTGTCAGGCTATTCTAGGATTTATCATCTCTCGAATTGCATAACTTTCATAAGCAAATGTATGTACAGTAAATCTCGAAATAGCAGGCATGGGCGTCATTTCGAAAATCGCGCCCCCTAAAAATAGCATATGTAGATTTAAATAACGCTATGCGCGTCCCAAAATAAAGTGCTCCCACTATTATGTATTTTGAAAAAAAGCCAGGTTCAAAAATAAGGATGTTAAAAAGTCAGACCCAGCTCCGGTTCTTAAAAAGCTCGGGTCTAACTTAGCAGTTTAACATACAATATAGATAATCTTGAAAACAAAATGCCAAAAGTATTCATTATTCCCTTTTATTAAATTTTATCTGGACTAGTTTCAGACCTGCCCTAAAAAGTTCGGTCCCAGACCCAGTCCGAACAAGTCCTTTGTGAGCTATTTAACATCTTATTCAGAAAGTCAGCCTATACATTCGAAATAACGCCCATGGACGTACTCGAAATAGCGCGCAGGTAGTCAAAATAGCGCACAGATGTCCGCTATTTCTCGAGATTTTACGGTATAAACCTCCAAAGAGTGTTCCTAAAGGGTTGAATTAATTCGGGTGACTCGAGTTAAAAACCGAACCCAGAACCCTCGATGTCAAATCAATATGGCCTCAGGGGGTTATTTTTCTAGCAAAGATTCTATATGAATATACTGTGCATGAATATAAAAACGGATATGTATGATAATTCAAATAAGAATTAACAGGAACAATAATGAATTTTGCGACTTTAGTAGATATTACATTAGGTAACTATGGAGTAAATAAATATCGATTAATTTTGTATATGCGACTAGCAAATATAAGAGTAGATAATAATAAAAATTTTTATTTTGAAATTTTTAAATAAAAGTTTATTAACTTGCACCAGTAGTTATCAATAACCAGGGTGCTATACCTCAAAAACCGTACTAGGGAACATGAGTCGGGTGTACTAAGTAAAACTGTTTGGAAACCTCAAAAACCTAAATTCTACCCATTATATCTGAACCTTACCCTAATTTTTACGTAACTATTCTAACTCTAACTTTTAGTAAAAAAAACTATTTTTTAGTAAAACATTAAGAATATTATTAACTATAACCGGTGATTGTACCGGGTACTATATCTCAAAAATTTACTACGTAGCTAATTCACATCAGGGGTATTAAGCAAAAGTGTTCAGAACTCAACTAAAATTTAACCTTTATATCTGACCCCATTTTACCCTAAAACTGCACCCTAACCCTAAAAATAAGAGGTAGTGATAATTACTACTGGTTATATATTTGCATAGTACTAGAATTCTTAAATCAATATATAAACTTTAAAAGCTTATAAATAAAAAACTAAAGTAGTTATAAATCAAATATTTCATAAAATAATAGAATCTAACCTAAAAAACAAAGTTATAGAGTTTAATTTCTTAGTTTATTAAAATTTAATAAGTTATACACTTATAAAATTACTTGATTTTAGTAAAATTTAAATTTGGATTGGTCAAAATTATTTGAAATTAACAGAATTTTAATCAAAAATTTTTACCAAGTGTTGTATTGCTTTGTTTTTATATAAAATAATATATATATAAAAGTTGATCACCTATATTAATAACTTGTTGGTTTACACTGTAGTAAAAAGCTAATTGTAAATTTATCAATTTATTAGCTATTATATTTAATATGTGATTGGTTAATATTTTAACAATAATTTAATATAATAATTCTGATATATATTATTATAATCTTACATATATTTTTATATAAATTTTAATAAATCAAATTCTATACACTATATTTTTTTAATATATATATCTAAAATTTTTTATAGTCTATTTTAGTACTTGAGATATAGTATAGAAGATATATTATATAAGTGCTTTTATGTTTTTGATATTATATAAGTATAATACTTTTATATTTATATACTAGATATAAATCAAAATTTGATACTCTAAATTGCTACAAGGTACAGCCTATAGGATATATATATAAGAAAAATATATAACCAGTAGTAATTATCACTACCTGTTATTTTTATGGTTAGGGTGCAGTTTTAGGGTAAAATGGGGTCAG